AAGAAAGAAAGAAAGAAAGAAAGAAAGAAAGAAAGAAAGAAAGAAAGGAAAAGAAAATCTGGTGCGTTGTTTTAAAACCCTAAAACCAGCCGCACATGCTACTGTGTGAGTCTCCCTTCTGCCCACTAACAAGGAAACCTAAGTTGTGTGCTTTGCCCTTCAAAACAGAATAGTAAATATAGTAGAAAGATAAATAAAAATTGTAAAGCAGAACTGTTTCTTGCATATGCCCCCCCCCCCGGGTGAGGGGGGGGGGCGCAGTCTTAAGGGCGTTTTGATGTGATTTTTGGCCTGGGCTGGGCCCCAGTGGCTGAGGCCCTGTAACTTTAAACCTGGCCTGAGGTCATCTTGTGATGCTGGCCAAACAGAGTTCGGGGGCGGTCCTAGATCTCCGGGACCACCTGACGCCCACCCGCTCCCGCCCCGGGACGGGAGACATAAATGCCGACTGTGCGGAGAAGTTGCCAGCTGCCAAGTTTGCTGTGTTTGCGGTCTCTGTGAGTCGAGAAAGCCCGGGAGCTCCCTGTCGTCGGGACTTTTGCTCACCGCCTTCCAGCCTCCTCCCGAGCTCTTCCCGGCTGGGCCTGTAGCTTCGAAGTTTTTCTTCTTCAACTTTTCACAACCCACAAAACCCACTAGCTGCTGAGACTCCAACGAGATCAAGATGTGGACGGCGCCAGTGTTGTTCTGGGTTTTGGGGAGCGTTTGGTTCTGGGTCTCTGCGCAGGGAGGTAAGCGCCATGCGTGATTGGCAACGGGCACTTGCTGTTGGAGATGGAGGGAGGAGGCGGGGGATGCTTGGGCCTGGGATCTGAGAGTGCCGAGGAAAACGGTGGGGCAGCTTAGATGGAGCTAAGTCCTCAGGTACAGCCCAGTGGGTGTGGCGATAGGAGCCGGGATCCACAGGTGATAGGGGTACAGAATGGCCCTTACCACCACCACCACCACCGGTCCCGAGGGGGTGGGGGCTAATGGTACGGGATGGGAGGGTGACGCCAAGGGCGACTGGACTGACCCAAAAAGCAGTGCGTTTAGAGGAATGGTCTCTGAAAAAGAGAAACAGACAGGAGGACATAGGTTGGAACTCGGGGTCACACCCCTGGCTGGGTACAGACCTGAAGAGGCTTCGCTAATTAGGATGGTATTTGGAAGGGGCGGTGGAACAGCTTGAACCGCAGGCTGCTATCTTTCTAGCATCCTTGTCTCTGCCTCTTTCTTTCTTCCTCCCCACACCCCTGCACTAGATAGGGATGGAACCCAGGGCATCCAGCCTGCTAGAACAACGCCACAGAACTGTATCTCCTAACCTGAAGGGTTGTTGTGAGCACTGACGTGCAAGTGTGTTTGAGGCCATGGATTGAGCTTGGCCAAGGACTCAGTGGCTGAACTACTGTTAATAAAAGACCGAGTCTGAGAATGTAGCTAGTTGGCAGAGTCCTGCCTTTGCATCCGAGACACTCTCATGTTCCTTCCCCAGTAAGGTACAAAAACCAGTGAAGTGGTGCACAACTGGGTGGTGTCAGCACTGGGGAGGTGGAGGCAGGAGGATGAAAGGTTTCAAGGTTATCCTGGGGCATAAAGGAGTTTGAAACCAGCCCAAGCTCTAAGACCCTGACTAGAAATAACCAGATTGATGGGACCACCACCAGGTCCTCCTCTTCTGTCTTACGGTCCACTGTCTGGTGTTATGTATGGCTGGGATCTGGGACCGTTTCCCATTATTTGATTTCTTGCCTTGGTGTTTGTGCCTTTTGTGTCTTTCCCTGGTAGAATCTAAGCTCTAAACCTTGATCCCGGGGGCCAAAACATCCTCTGACAGTAGCTGATGCTCACTAAATACCGATTGAAGGCTAGTGGTCTTCAGAGATGGAGGACTTGTCCTTCCCGGTGAAGGAGTGGTCTGTGTGAGTGGGCCTAGCCTAGGCTTCTATAATTCTCCACAGACAACACCTACCTAGTGTTAGGGAAATTATATAGAGTGCACTGGGTGGGGTTGTCTGCTTCAAAGGGACGAAGCTGTTCTTTAGGGTGTTCAGTACTATTCCTGGCAGTCCTATCTTTGAAACTTCTCCTTGCCCTAGGATATATATACAGTTCTGTATTTCGGTTCCATTTCCGTCGTGGTGAGACAGTGTGTGTTAAGAACATGACTTTTCACTCACCAGCCAGCTCAAAGTGAGGGGAGGCACCCACCCCAAACCACATCCTAGGAAATGCAGAGACTGGCTAACATCCACCAATGGCAAGGGTAGGCTGCAACTGTCTTAAGCCAGCTCCCAAAGTACTCCTAAAATGTAGCTTGTGTTTTGGTCTTGTCTAGAAAACGGCATCACTCAGTTATACTAGAAACTGTGCAGCTGAAGAAAGAGACTTGGTAAAGGGGTGTCCAGAGGGATGGCCGTGTGGCCAGTTGGATGCAGGCTGTTCTGCAGCAAGATTGAGCCTGCAGGGTTTTTGTCTGAGAGTAATGAATATGGATGAGTCACTCTATTTGAGTTAAGCCATTACTGGAGAGCCAGACCAGGGGTGATTGTGGTGTGCTAATTCTTCTATTAGAGTCATGGGCCATGCTGATTTGGTATTATAATCCAACCCCCTTTGTAGTCTCCAAGGTGTTAGTGGATTCTAAGGAGGCCTGTCGTCCTCACATCTGGCATCTTCCCCAATTGCCAGACCCCACCCTCACTCTGAACTTTCATCCAAAGTCGGTACCCTAGGACTCGCCCGTTAGCAATTACTTTTTATACGATTCTACGAGCCGCTGCTTGTCCCTAACACATGTGTGCTCTTCCGGGACCAGTTTGAGCAGGATTAATCATGTGGCAAAGGAATCATCCTGTGATTTCCCTGAAGTTCTTGCCAGTTTCGGGGGCCCTGGAATCCTCACAAGTGCCTGAGGGCTTATGTTGCTGAGGAGGCCTTGAATAAAGCTGGTTCTGTTAGAGGTTCTGTGGGGGAAGCTGGGGCATATGAGCCCAAACCGAGTTCAGAAGAGGGAAACACATTTAAAGATGTGTGTGCAGCGGCAGAAGGCTGAGGGGTAGCCATGACCAACAAGACAAAACTCAGCCCACCATTGACTCTGTGTTGGTACATGGAAAGACCGAGTCTTTTTTGGCATGATGGGAGAATGACCCTGGAGGAGTGGGCGGGACACCACCTCCTAGGGTTCCCATCCCCCACCACATTCTAGGAATGTCACAGTTTACCTCATTTAATCCCCAACCACTCCGTAAATTATACACTATTATCTAAGAAGCTGCTGGGACTGTGATTCAGAAACAAAGTCAAGCTTTTACTACGATTGAACTGAAAAAAAAAAAAAAGACTGAACTTGATACTGAAGGTGGACTTTACTTTCAGACCATTACACATGAATTAAAAAAAAATTCTCTAAGACTTAAGATCTTTGAGTTACACACTCCCCCTGTACTAGAATGATTTGGCATGGAGCATTAAAATAGATTACCTTAGTTCGTCCTGCACGCAGGCAGTGAACCTCTCCCAAGAGGGTGCGGCAGGCAGGCTGTTGGATGCAGGAAAGCACCCAGCCGAGAGTATGCTCCAGACACCCTTGCCAACCAAGAATGAACCTGTGCTCTGGATTGCACTGGCTTATCTGAATTTTTGTCATATTTCTGGCTTCTGAAAGCAGGCATTCCAGGTTACAGCTTGTGGAAGTCTTTTGGGGGAGGCCAAGGAGGAAGCAAACTCAAATACCACTTTGACCAGGAATCCTGCAGAAGACCCCCCCACCCCAGCCCAACCCTTCTCCCAAGGAAGCTCTGATATCCTGAAATCTCTCAGGAAAGAAGCCTGTGTGGTCTTGTTAGAAGAAGAGGGTCCAGTGATTTGGGGGAGGTTGAGATAAGAGGTTGCTTGTACTTGTAGGACAGATAAAGCTCCCCTTGACTACGATTTTAAGTACTTTCTCAACAGAGTGCTTGGTGTGTGTGTGTGTGTGTGTGTGTGTGTGAAGTGTATATTTCTCAATTACTATGCGCCATATTTTTTTGAGACTCTCACTGAAGCTGGAGCTCACCAATCACCAGGCTTAGACTGGGCAGTTGCTCTTAGGGATCTGGTTGCCTCTGCCTCCCCAGTGTTGAGGTAACAGATGTGCACCACTGTGCCCTGCTTCAGATATGAGTTTGGGGGCTGGAGCTCAAATGCTCATGTTTGTGTGGACGACATTTCACTGACAGCCATCTTTGTTCTGGGAAAGGAAAATGATTAGGCTTTTTATTCAAGGTCTAGTGTAGGATAGAGCCAGGTTGGGAAACAGCTGACATTCCATCAGGTTCATGCAGGGCAGGAAATGGAGGTGGCTGTTTCCTCCCACATGTCTAACCACAGTGCCTGGCTGTCCATCATCCCAGACGGCTCATGGCCAGCCAGGTGATGGGAAACTCTTGAACATCAACAGAAAGAGTAGACCAGGGTTGGAGAGACATCTGTGCCACCATGGGAACCAAACGCTGGCCTACTGTAGCAAGGGTTTTTGTAATCCCAGTGCTAGGAATGCCATATCCCCGAGACTCTCTGACCCAGCCTGACCAGCCTGTCTAGCCCAATCAGCAAGCCCTCAGCCATTGAGATACCCTGGGGGCAGCCACGAGTGCCTGGGGAATAATATCTAAGGTTATCATTTGAACACACACAGACACACACGCGCACGCACCCACACAGGTGTGTGAGCACGCACACAGAGAGGGAGAAAGGGAAAAAGGGAGAGGGGTATGTCTGCATCTGTGTCTGGTGCAGAGTCTTCGCCCGGGAGAACAAGTCTGTATTTGGGGATGAGTCAGGCTAAGTTCAGAGGGAGGCTTTTGACCTTGGGCAGCTGATCACTGAGGTAGAGAAACAGAAGACAATCATGGTTGAGGCAAGGCAAAGTGGATGTAGTTTCAAAAACAAAAACCTCTCTGGAAGATGAGCTTGTAGCTTCTAATGGGGGGGAGGGTCAAAACTTGCAGAAGTGCCTGGAGAGGTAGGGGCAGATCAACCTGTGCCACACTGCCAGCCCCTGTTAGGTTGGCAGGGTGCGGGGGAATGCCAAGGAGGCCAGAGAAGGAGCATGCTGCCAGCAGGGTATTTCCCAGAGTCCATAAGGGGAATAAAAGAGCAAACAAGCAAAGCCGTGAGCCAGAGGAGTGCCCACCCAAGGGAGAAAGGACTTAGCTTGCCTGGTATCTCTAGCAAAGGACAGAGAGACAAGTAACAGCGTTTGTTGACATGAAAGCTGCCCCGCCCAAGGAATTTGCTTATTTGACAAATATTTACTGAGCTCTTGCTGTGGGTTCAGGCATTGGAGCATGGTGTTATCCTGCCTTGAGCTCCTACCGGGAAGCCCTATCTTGGCAGCCTTGGGGATTCTGACCTCAGTTAGGGTGGGTCCCTGAGAACTAGAGATCTTTAATCCCTCCATCTGGAAACACACATTCCATCCAACGCTTTTGTTCTTCAGAAGACCAAAGATCTCTGGAACCCTTTTTAATTATGAAAAGCCTGTCACGGGGAACAAATATGTACCTAAAGTGGAGAAAAGTGTGTCTCATTTTGGGTGGGGGTGGGGGGCAGAGGAAAATCTCTATCTTGTCAGACTTGGTTTTTCTTTTAAGATTTTTTTTTTAAATTATGTGTGTTCATACCTGTCTGTCAGGGTATGTGCACATGAGAGCAGGTGCCCACAGAAGACAGAAGAGACCAACCCCTCAGGAAATGAAGTTAC